TTTGGAGAACATTTTCACATCAAGCAGGGTTTGGTTTACTGGTACAGAGTGGTGATGAACTTAGTCAGAAGTAGAATGAACTCCTGTGTTTTTATTTAGACCTTTTGTCAAGCTCTTTGTTTTGCCTCTCACTGAGTCAGCTGGAGTCTGCCCTGCTGAGCATTGATGGGATTACACCAAAAATGATACTTACTTTAACTTTCATTCTTCTGTATAGATTGATAGTTTTATTTGAACCAACACGGCATAAAACAGAAACAAACATAGGATGTACTTTATTTTTATACGAATCAACCCCAGAGTCAATACTTCAAGTTTTCCAATTAATTTTTCTATCATCTTTGTACTTGGTCTACAGACAAAACATTTGGTCAGTTATGTTCTTTGGAAAAACCTGAAAACTGAAGCGCTACTTTACAAAAATTTCTCACCTGGATTTAGGTCTGAACTTGGACTATAACATTTCAACTCGTGAATGTTATTGTCCTACTGGAAAGTGAACCTTCACCCCAGTCTAAAGAGTTTTGCAACACAGTTTTCTTCCAGGACTGCACAGTATTTATCTTCACTCATCTTCCCATCAACACAGAACCTACATCACTTCTGGTAAACTTCAGAGAGGATGTATTTTGGTTTTCTTTTGGTAATGGCTTATTTCCCCATCAACATTACCATGAAAGCCAGATTATTAGCTCTTCTATACAAAGGCTCTCCCACCTGAACTGCAGATTAACATGGGACTCTTGGCTGCTTCTCTAATTAACGGACAATTTATTAGCGTAGGTGGATCACAATGTTGTGGTATGTTTACAGCTCTATTTGCTTACCAAGATGTTCAAAGGCTGGAATATTTTTTAAAAAGCCTCACCCTCCTCCAACCTTATTACGCTGGTTTCATTGATGTTCTTTAACAAACCTCTAAAGTGAGACCCAAATTTCACATAATTTGTAGAAATAGAATTCCATTATTCTGTTATTTAACAACTGTGCACATTAGTTGGTGATATTGCATATGATTTACAATAAAATACTGACAATTTTGGTTGTAATGAGTGTAAAAATCTATAAGCGGTACAAATACTTTTGCAATATGCTTTGCTAGTTAAATAGAATAGTGTATTTTTGTTTTTTGGGGGTTTAACTCGGGTTAATCTTGATCAATGAGGGTGAGTAAACACCCTCAATAATGCTTGCTCTCTTGCTCATCTTGCAGGATTTTTTTTGCATCAGTGTGAGAGTTGGTAACCGCATTCTCTCCCCAACTTTGTTTACGTGAACTGTTAAAGATGCAAAAAGCCCAGCTGTCGGTTTCACTTTCTCGTCATGTCGGTGCTTAAAAAAGGTGTGTGGAAAGTACATATGAATAAGAGTAGAAGAGGAAATGAGTGTAAATGGGAAGCTTCTAAGGGTCATCTTTGTTGTTTTTGCTCTCGGCAGACTGTGGTGGTGTGTGTGTGTGTGTGTGTGTGTGTGTGTTGCACTGCAGTGCTGTGGAGACATAGTCTCAGACAGCCGGATATAGCTACTTCCACTGTTTGTCATGTGACCAGGTTTTGTGGTCACACACAAGGAAGTTGCAGTGTCCTCCTGTCTCAAAAGTAGTATGTGCAAGGTGAAAATGTGCAGGGCAGATGTGGAGTTTCCCACATTTCTCACTCGTATAGTGGACATTTCTTGTACTGCAAGTCTCTTAGTTGCTTTTTCTCTAATCTCTGGGAGCATTTAAGAGCTCAAGTGTCAAGTTCCTTCATAAACTTGTTTGCTTCATGGTGTGTTTTCCCCAAGCGACCACATGAACCCGTCTCTTCTGACATCACAGTTCAGCATAGCGACAATTCTTGGAAGACTCAAGTGACTGAGAACGCAGGGCTGGCTTTGTCATCCCCCTGACATCAATGCCATCAAGGCCACCTCAGTGTCTCCAAAATGCAATGCTGATCCTTGAGCTGCTGCTGCGTCATATAGTACCACCCATGCTGCTTCTCCAGTGGGTGCTATGCGTCAGCGGAGCTGGCAGAAAATGCTCTCAACCTTCCAAAGTGCATGTTGATGTAATCTACTACACAGAGGCCTTTTTTCTCCCTATGAGCCAGCCTATAAACAAATCTATTTGCACACAAGCACATTGGGATGTGGTCAAACACCTGACTCTACCTGTCACAACAGTGTGTGTACATAAGAATATTTCTCAGTCTGGAAGTGATTTTTGTCCTTTTCTTGCCCTTCTTGCCCTAAAACTAAACCTTAGACAGCTAAAACTACTTTCTTTTATTGTTGTTTTCTGTGCCCACGAGACGAGCATGTACGTAGAGTCCACGTCTTGTCAGAGGTGTCAGGTAGAGGGCTCATTATCCTGCCTCTGCATTGTGCACATACTGTCCTCAGTGGTTGCTGGCATGGAGGATATCAAGGGAATATGGGTCAGCCAAAACCTGTCGGGAGAGCAAGTCACCAGCTGGGGCCCAGCTGAGGAAAAGAAGGCTCGGTACAAAGGGTTCAGCATTGTTTCTGGCCATCAATTTTGGCATTTCATTATTGTTGAACAGGTTCTTGATTTGAACTCTCAACTTTACTCTTAAATTGCACTTTGTGCTCTGGGTTGTATGTTTAGAAATGATATAGGCGAGTGATCTTAACGGACTGTGTTGATTCTTTGAAATATAGTATATATTTATGAATGACTGATCTAGATGCTGAAGAATGACATGCCTTTGCGATTCATCAACCTTACATTCAAGGTAGAAGCATTTTTAAGGAAAAATAAGCTAATTTCCAATTACTCTTCAGATAAGATTAACAATCTGAGGGGTACTTTGCAGTTTGAAATCTGCTAGTGATTAGCAGTTTCTTGACCTTTTTAGATGTTTTCTTTTTATTCCTTCTACCTGACCATGTTAACATATTTGTAGTGTTCTTTTTAAAATGAAAATTGGCAAATGGTGGGCAGGAAAAGTATCATCCTTTATTTAAACATCTAGCATTTGAAATGTCTCCAGCTAAATGCTGTTTGTCAGTCTCACATGCCAAACCCTACATGTATAGTAAGCTGTCATCTGTAGATAAAACTGAGCTTAGTTCCTAATATTTCAGCGTATGTTTGTTGTTCCACTTTCTTTGACCTTTTAATGGTTCAAAGGAATGTGGAACAACAAATATACCTTAAAATTGCCAAAGGACTGGACTTCAAATGCTCTAAAAACTTAGATCTTAAGAATACAAAAACACAATTTAACCCCATAGACGTTGGGTATGGTGTGTGAGCTTCTGACTGGCTGCTCACTGTTTCACTCTGAAAGTCACGCCATTCCAGTTGTTAGTTACATCTATTGAAACAAAAATAACTTCAGACAATGGACAGCAAAAACATACAGGACTCACTTTGACAATCTGCCTAAATGTTAGATATCTTATTTTCTAAAGCTTCGCCAAACTTGAACTTGTTACCGGTATTACTTTAATGTTGTTTATTTTTTTTTTTTTCATTGGCGGAAGTGGCCTTTATTAATAGGAATCACAGGAAATCTGATGAAATAGAAACAGGAAAGACTTGCAGCAAAGGTCACAAAATCATGACTCAAACCAAAGATGGCTGCGTAGCGGATATAATCCCTGTTAATGGGGCACTTGCACTACCACTACACCACACCATTCCCCGTAATTACTTACTATTAAAATGTTTTTTTTATTGCCTCTGCAACTTTACTTTCTTGCCTTGATGATATTGTATTCATCTTAATGAAAAAAATGTTAAAAATAAAGGAAAAACAATAAGTTTACATGATAGAAATTATTTTGGACTGTTTGGCGAGTTTTATACCACAGTCCACCAGCTTCTGTTTGCTTTGTACTGACTGATCTGTTTCCAGTTGTATCAATCAGAAGTTTTTGAGTGAGGGAAACAGAAGCTCATATTGACAGATCTTCTACATCTCTGTTCGCGCACACACTAAGAAACCCCACACTTCTGTGTTAGAGGAAATGGGGCAATTAAGGACAGCTTGGTGCTGCTTGGCAGGGGGTTAATATGCGGCTCCGTAATTAAAAATAAATTACAGTTTTCCAGTATAAATATTCAAGTTCCACGCCGCCGTGTGCCACTGCCTTGTTATGGTATGTTAGCTTTTTTTTCCCCTTCCGTCTGTACAACATCTGGCGTAACATTTCCTGAAGCATCACCAGAATAAATTGAATTTGGTCTTTCTTCAGAGATTCATTTGCGTGAATCATGTTGAGCAAGTGAGTAGGATGGACCTGTGTGGCTGCAGGTTATGGCAAATATCTGTATGGGAAGGTGATTGGCTCCAAGTAGAGGAAAATCTGTTTTAAGCTGCAAAAGACTTGAGACTTGCTGTTCTAATTATTTTTTTTTTCTTTTAAACTCGTAAAGACACTTATTTTCTTTCAGTGCTAATTTGACTAGAACATACTGAAGTTCCTGGTTGCAAAATGACAAAATGGAAAAAAGGTCAAGAGGTAAATACTTTGCAAGGCAGTATGTGTTGTTAAATTCTCCTTTACTAATCTACATTGTAATTTACTTATTTATTTTTGTCTTGATCTTTAATTCCAGGGGGAAAAAATTCTGTTTTGATATTTTTTTTACAAATCAGGACATTCTCAAAGGTGGCTCAAATGGCTGAGCTAGCATTTCTCCCACATTGTGTTTTTCTTTTGACTTAACCCTGTCAGTATTTTATTAAAGCTGAAAAATAATAAGAAAAAAAAAGCAAGACATGGCCCACCTTTTTTTGTTTTTGGGCTAGCTCTTATCTTATTTGCTTCAGAAAGTGTCTCCAATGAAAACAGAAAGGAAAAATAGGTGTCTGACTTCAGGTTCACCAAAAACATTTTCAACACATTTATACATGAAAAGAACCGACATAGCCACATATGACATCATAAAACCCACAAAACGAGTAGAGTTAGTCGGGCTTTTGAGAATCTTGAAGCAAATGTTTCTCAGTAACCCAATATCTTCTATTTGTGTTTCCTCATATCAGGAGAATACATCAAGACCTGGAGGCCGAGGTATTTTCTCCTCAAAAGTGACGGTACATTCATCGGTTACAAAGAACGACCACAAGATGTTGACCAGCTGGAAACCCCCTTAAATAACTTCTCCGTTGCACGTGAGTATCTGCTTCTTTCTTTTTCTAAGCACTTTTAGTTTTTTGCTTGAATATCTGTTGTGGTAAATTTTTCATCTGTTGATTTCACGTGTTTTAATAATATAATGTATATCACAGTTTTATCCAAGTACATTGAAAGCCATCACTCTAAATGTACTCTGCAGACAGTCAGGAACACTCCATCACTTACAGTTGGGTCCAAAAAAACTTGAGACATGTTCATCTGGTTTTTTTTTTAAGAGTTGCCTAAAACTTTAACAGCTGTGAGCTATTTTTTAAAACAGTCCGGTACTCCACATCTGAAAATAATTGCACACCAAAAATTTACATTGCACCTTTTTTTCTGATTTATTCTTCCTTGGATGTGCCACTGCTACCATTGGTGCAAGTCCCTAAAATGCCCTTGTTGTGTAGATTTCTTTCTGTTATGGTTTCTTTTAATCTCAGTCATTTTATTAGTTCATTGGCTGTTTGATGGGAGTTCCTTTAGTTTTATACTGAAAGAGTAGGACGTCCTCTACTTGCATCACTCTCTTCATCTGTTTTTCCCCTGATGAAGAAGCTCCACAGCATTATTTTAGTGTTTTTTTTGTTTTTTAAAAAAGCTAATAAAGTTGGTCATTCTTTGAAATTACTATGTGAAGAATGGTTATTGTCTCCAACTCAAGCAGAAGAAGGAAGGCATGATTTTTTTTTTCTTTTTTTTTTTTTTGGTCATATATCTGGTAGAGTCCATTTAGCTCTACTGAAGCCTCTTGCTAATCAAAAGGAATTGATAATCTCCCTGAGAGGAGACTCCATTGAAAACCTAGAACTTGTGAGATTGATTAAGATATGGGAAAGTCTTGGCTAGAAAATATTGGCGTTACCTCAGTGACCTGATCTTATATCATGAATGGGTGGAATAAAATCCAGTAGGCTGACAAACTCTTTCATCCATGAGGCAGCTTGAAACAGAGCCTCTGCCTCACTACATCGATAAATGTCAACTGAGGTGGTTTGGATGTCTTGCCAGAATGCTTTTAGAAGTTTGAAGGCACAGTTGCACATGGAGGAGACTCCAGATCATACCTTGAAATGTCTGCAGTTTCTTTCTACCTGTGGGATTCTCTGAAACACTGTGTTGCTGGGGAGAAGGATGTATGCACTTCATTCACGGACCTGTTGCCTCCTTGATTCAATTTGGGAGACAATAAACTTCTATATATTTGGTTTCTCAAATGGCTTAACAAAGCCAGACCTTCAGCATCTTTGTTCATGCAAAATGTAAATGGAACCTATGCGATAAAACTCACATTTTCTGCAGTTTTGTGGGTTAAATCTGGTCAGTCAGAAATTTCTAAAACAAGATCTGAAAGGACAACCGGTTATTGCAGGGAATAGATACACTGACTAAAATGTAGCATGACCCAAGCCCTCTAGAGTATTTATAGTCTAAGTATAGTGACATACTAAAACATGCAAAGAATCTATATGTTTTTTGGTGTGCATGCCAGGAGTGTAAAAGGCTAAGTTCACATTGGATCATATTTTATCATCGCTGCAGTTAGTCAGAAATGTTTCTGAAGATGCTGCAGTATCATCTCTGCAGCATCATTGCAAGCAAAGAAAACATTGGCCCAGAATACACATGGTTATGTCTGGTCTTCAATGCATCAGGTGCTGCCCTCCTCCTCTCTGAGCTTCTTCCACAATCCCTCTACTTTCATGTTGTGAAAGAAAACTAAATAGAAGTGCCCAGAGCAACACAGTTCACTCCATCTTCCCATCACAGAAAGCCTCAGCGATAAGCCGCGCAGTTGACTGAACACAACAATTAGACAGCACACTGTTTGTTTAACTTGTTTCCTCCCCGACACTCTTGAGTTATCGTGGCTATTAACTGCCTGATTTCAAGTATTTGTCTGGGCTACGCTCTGAGGCTCTTGTCTCCATCCATGGAGGCTTTGTTTTTTTTTGTTTTTTTGTTTTTGTTTTTCCTTGTCACCAGTGCGACCTCATCATAGAGGACACATGGTGTGTCGCTGCTGAGGGGGCGGCTGCAGCTGGATCACACATTCACCCTGATGGAGCCATGTTGGATCTCAGTGGTGGTCCACTTGGAGTCCTCCATCTATCAGACAGGGGCCATATTTGTGTCACACCCAGACATATTTGCTGACATGTTTCATTTGGGAACAGATGTTAATGTGAAAAAGGTGCAGATGGAAATCGCTGCTTTTGTACTTCCAGTTTGTGGAGTATTGTGAGTAATTGTTTTTGGAAACTGCTTACATAACAATTGTTTGCTCCAAAACTGGGGAAAAAATATATATATGTGAAGGAAGTGATGTGTATCAGATCTGCTGATATATATATTTTTTATCAGCAAGTGTTGTAACTCGAGACGTTCCACTATCAGTCTAAGAAAAACAATTCAACAAGAGTTAATGAAGAATGTAAAGATTTCTGTGTAGTGGGATAATTTATATTAAATGTATTAAAAATACTAAAATTTGTATTTATTCACATGATTACGACACAAAAATGTGTGAAACTTGATGTCCGTCCTTCCTTTCTTCCATCTATCCGTTGTGTCCATTCATTCACCCGTCTTCCATTGTTTGTTCTTCCTTCTATCCTTCCATTCACCCATTCGTTGTCCAACCATGGTCTGTTGTCCATTCATCCGTCTGTCCTCCTTTGTCTGTCCTTCTTTCTGGCCTTCCATCCGTCATCCATTGTGTCCTCGTTTCTTTCCCTGAAACATTTGCTGTAAATGTGTGGTGAACTTTTGTATTTTAAATATGAAGGGGAGGACAATGAACTGTGAAAACTCAGAAAGGCGAGTCTGCAAAATTGACATTTTTACTGGGAAAAATTTGTAGGAGCCATAGATGTTGGCACATGGGTTGTTCATGACAAAAAGATACCAAATGTCACATTTTAAAGGAGCTTTCAAATCTTTTCCCTCCAAAGTGCACCTGTTCTTTTCCAAATTGGCCAACGGTGTCTGTTAGGGTGGCGATAAAGATAAATGGCTGTAACTGTGGGTCTGTCTCTCCCCTCTGCTCCCCTACAACACTGGCCCTTCTCTTCATCTCCCTCCCTGCTCTCTCCCTGGCTGTTGGTCAGAGTGCCAGCTGATGAAGACGGAACGACCCAAGCCCAACACATTTATCATCCGCTGCCTGCAGTGGACCACTGTCATCGAGCGTACCTTCCACGTGGAGACCCCCGAGGAAAGGCAAGCTACAAGCGCGCACACACACACACACACACACACACAACACACCCGCCTCTTTTTGCTATTGGAGTTGTAAAACACAAACTGTTTAAATGGAAAGCATTTGTTTCCAGCAAACAGCTGCACAGATTAAGATGTAGAAACTGCTCAAATGTGTACATTTACAGTGATTCATTGCTGCGTACTTATTCAAAGTTCCCTGTGATTGGCTGAACTGACACATGAAATTGCTTTCCTGTTGATAAGAACAGAATTGCATGATTGGGTTGCAGGGCTTGCTCTATGGAAAATGAGCTGATTTAATCTCTTTGACTCCTCTGTCTAATTCAGGGAAGAATGGACCAAAGCCATCCAGACAGTGGCTGAAGGCCTTCATAAACAAGAAGAGGAGAGGATGGACTCCTCTCCAGAGCCCATGGACATGGAGGTCTACCTGACCAAACCCAGACACAAAGTGGTACTGTATCTCAGCCATGCACAGTGTTACACAGTGCCTTGCAAAACAATTCATATCAGTTTTTCACATTTTATTACATAGTAAACACAAACTTTGATAGATTTTATAGAAGGTAGTGCATAAATATGAAGGGATTTTGAAAATCTTTTAACAAACAGAAAAATGTGGCATGCATTTAAAGTTGTGCTGCTTTACTCTACAATGCCTCCAAATAAAACGGAGTGCAATAATTAGTCCGTAGAACTTAACTAACAATGCAGGCTTTAGAGATTTGTTAGAGAACATTGATGAACAAGCACCATTATGTCGTGCTAGACCTTGGACATCTAACACTGCACATTACCTTAAGTTTTACATCCAATGACACAATCTAATAATAAATAATCAAAATAATCAAAGAGGACAAGATACGAAAAAGTTTGAGACATGAATACTTTTGTTTCTTTTGTCCCTAAATGTACTTCTAAAACAGAAGTCAGCCCTGTGGTAATTCTAAGGTCTCCCCCCCCCACTTTATCCCTCATTTGGTCATGGTGCCCTTCTTCTGACCTGCCCTTCCCTTGATGCTCTCACACAACTCCAGCTTCCCTTCTGGTCAAAGGCATCAGCCAGGGGTGGCTTGGCACCCAACCCCCCTTTCCCCTTCAAGGCCACGGGATTGGATGTCATCCCCCACCTCTCCACACACAGATGCATACACACCCATTCACAACATTCTCCTCAGGGTCAGAGGTTAACCAAGTCCCAACCACATTTAGGCCAAACCATTAGTGGAGTGGAAATTGCTTAGTGGGTAAAATGGTGCCTAAAATGCTTTAGTGCTGTTGTCAATCGGATTGTGTGTCCAAGCTGGTCAGAGCTCGAGTTTGCTAATTCTCCTGTTCGTAACCAGATACCACTTTGTCTTCTCTGGCCTTCCAGACTATGCATGACTTTGAATACCTCAAACTCCTGGGAAAAGGCACTTTTGGCAAAGTTATTCTGGTAAAGGAGAAGGCCACAGGACGCTACTATGCCATGAAGATCCTAAAGAAGGAGGTGATCGTAGCAAAAGTGAGTGGTTGCCAATTTGCAAGTAAAGGGTGAAAAACACTTAGGTTTTGGAGTTCAGTGGCGCAATGACTGATACTTAAATAGTTAGCTATTGTAAGACTTAGACAAACACTCTTTGTGCTTTTCTTTTTTCGCAGGATGAAGTGGCACACACACTCACAGAGAACAGGGTCCTCCAGAATTCAAAGCATCCGTTCTTGACTGTAAGGAAGGCACTCTGTATACTGGACCTTTTTTTTTTTTTACCCAAAAAAGGCCTTTTCTTAACTCAAGCATCCATTTATTCAGAAAAGGCAACAATTTGGACAGAAAACAAACAAGCACTTTTTATAGTAACACTGGCTGTTTGGCTTTACTTAAAAATAAATCTGTGGGTTTTGGTTTGGGAATCTTGTGAACATAATAAATTATGAACAAATATTGTCGTCGACTCTCAACGTGCTGTATTATCTGTATTCTATTTTTTTTCTCCAGCATGGTCCTCTTCAGATGTCTGATTTTTTTTTTTTTTTTGAGAATGTTGCTGCAGATGCAGCTGTTGCGATTGCATGTTCTTTGTTTAAAGGGCAGCTTCCTCTTGACTAAGCTGATGAGTTCTGCTTTTAACATGCTCTTCTTCTGCAGGGACTGAAATACTCCTTCCAGACTCATGACCGCCTGTGTTTTGTAATGGAGTACGCAAATGGTGGTGAGGTAAGCGACATAAACCGCCCAAACCTTTGTTGTTGCATCAGTTTTTCTTACTACTTGGTCACGGATAAATTTTAATTTTTTAATTTTTTTGCCTTGATCGCTGGACTGATAAACTTTGTTCTCATTTGAACACCTCTATCTTCCCCTTCAGCTTTTCTTCCATCTGTCAAGAGACCGGGTATTTTCAGAAGAGCGGGCTCGGTTTTATGGTGCAGAGATAGTGTCAGCGCTGGATTACCTACACGCTGAGAGAAACGTGGTTTATAGAGATCTCAAGGTATCAAGGAAATCTGTGGACTTTTCCACTTTTTCTTCTTTTTGTTACTTTATTTTGTAATACACAAGCACAAAGTAGAACATAAATGTGGAGGAAACATTTAAAAATGTGTTTTTTAAAGGTATTTGCTAGAGGTGTGCCTATCGATCGGTCAACGATCATAATCGGGCCGATTTTCGTGAAAAAGTGCATGATCGGTGAT